CTTCCTCATACGGCCAGCAGTGAAGGACCACGTCTCAGATCCGTAAGTCATCACTGGCAACACGCTCTGGTTGTACAATTTCGTTTTAAGGTTTTGAGGTATGTCTAACGATAAGATGTGTCGTAGTTTCCCGAACGCTTAAATATTATTGTGAAATACTGTAAAGACTTATGCAACAACCCAATAGGTTTTGCTATGGAAATAACTAAGTTAGCTAATTCAACTCTAGTTAGATTTCCAATCTTTTTACAGCATATTATGCTTCAGAGTGCAGTCTGCTTGCTAATTTAGATATATGAGGGCTCCACTGAAGCTTCGCAACCCTTAGTAATACTACGTAGTACTATTATTTATTCTGTGGTTATACTACGAAAAACAGGGGAATCAGCAAGGCTCAACTGTTAACAGTGTAAAGCACATTGCTATGTATATTTTAAACATTTGATGTTGTAAATTATAAAGATTTAGTTTTATTGCCATTTAAATATATATTTTTAAAGTTAAATGTATAATTCATTTAGCTGTATTCAAACGATTGCCGTTTATATTTGAGTTTTAAAAAATCATTGAAGTAACATTAGTAAATAATACTATGAAATAATATTAAGGCTTTAACTAGCCTGAATGACCTTGACGAAACGGCGATCGCAGAGATTTTAGCCAACCTCAACACCGTCTAGCAACTACGTTCGGTATTACTTATAAAAGTGCAAAGATTAATAGACTGCAGAGATGACAATTATATAAGTGACATACTGCCTTTTATGCTTGCGCATCACTGAGAATTATGTCGCGGCTACGCATCTTCAATTACATTGTGCTGTAGCTTTGTCCGGTAGGCGTAACGAGCTATCAAGTGTTCAAGATTCAAGTACGTAAGAGTTTTTTATTATATATGTTAAATCTATATATCTATCTATCTATATATTATCTAATAATAATGTATTAGTAGATCTGGGTCAAAGCGTTCGCTGTAAATTTTTCTCGGGTTTGATCCCCGACAGCACGATTGAAATTTGTAATTGCAATTTTCGTCAACACGCATTGGGGCAGCGCGGCGGGCATTTCCTTTCCCTAAAACCCTCTCAGAAATAAAATAAGAATCCTGTGCCCAGTAGAGGGACATGTATAGCCTTTTACTTTACATTGAAGCAATATTTATATTCGTTTCAAATACAGAAGGGTACCTTATGCTGACAAAAATATCAAGTGGAGGCGACGAAAACGTAAAACATCTTTGTACCTAGATAAAACGTTCGAAAGTTTATCAGTCATTTCATACGCCACATTTTCTATAGAGCGTAGAACATTGCAGATAGGGCAAAATAAAAAACCAAAATATTATGGGAACTATTTATTAATAATATATACATTTATAGATATTTATAATAAAAATAATGAACAAGCTGCAAGGTTCAACTAATAATGTTTCTTGTAAACACAATTGTAAAATTCCTGTTTTAATTTTTATAAATGGTTAATTGATGAAACGTAGTCAAGATCACTTCATATAAAATATATTTAATTAAAATTGACACATAACCTATTTGGCTTTCTACTTACAACTCGGCGGAAATTTGAAAAGAAGATTTTGTCTTTTCACACAAGTATTGTTTACAACTGGCGTGGTTTCGAAAAGCGTAATTAAGTGTCAGCGGTATATAATCAATTAAATACTGAACTTTTTTGAAATTAATTTTTTTTTTTTTATATCTTTGTTACGGCCTACGGCTGCTCCCTTAAAGGGTCCAATCCTCTGGGGCCCATGAGCAGAAGACTTCCCGAGCAAACGTAGGTCGGGCCTCAATGTGGCCACGTGGAATCTCTCGAATTACACTAAAATATATGGGGGAGCGTTCTATACTACGGCCAGTCGACCGGCAGAGGAATTAGGCGGAGCTTACTTACCTATATCCAAGGCGACTGGTCCCTCCGGAGTCGGTCAGGTCACATGTGGTTGTGTAGTGAAAGGGAAATAAGTGATGTGATGTGTATCTGGGTGTGACTGATGGTGATTGAACCTAGACCTTGGCCGTCGGCAGCAGCCCGAGCGTCGACACCGCTCCAACTTGAGGGGGCCTTCCGAGGTTGTCCAGTCACTTTCTTCTTTCGTCACGTTGACAGTCAATTAACTCTATCGTACGATTAACTAACTTACAGAAGCCACTAACTATCGCTGGGTATAAGGTTAACGCACAAAACTCACACGGAGTTTACGGATCAAAGGTCACGACCGTTTCGCGTAGCAACAGTTAGTTCTAGAATATCAGAGGCCGCACTAGCTAATATTGTCGAATGCACTTATACAGATTCTGAGTCGGACCCAATAAGTCCCGGGAAAGGCTATCCAAACAGGGAATGCGCGTTATAATTCCTAGACAGGATATTTACTAGACGCCCTAACTATTCCGCGGTTCCCGCACAAAATTAACAGCTTGCAGACATTAGCACAGCTTCAGACGACTGCTGCGCTTGCGACCCGCGCGCCACTTGCCACGCTCGGCCGAACTTCAAACCGGTATCGCCGAGCCGCGCGCCCTCTAACGTCAATCCCGAAATCAGCGTTCGGGCGTAAACAAACCGCGAAATTTTCCTACTGATTTTTTTCCTCTGGATTTAGGTCCGCGAGCAAACCGGTCAGCGAGACAGGGTCGCGATGGCAAGTTGCAAGACCGAATCTACAACCAAACTAGGCCACCTTAGGCAGTCGAAGAGGAAAAAGAAGCCTGCCTACCCACCGCTGGTCGATCTTCCCCCTGTGGTTGCGACGGTATCGAATAACCCGGTACCGCACAATGCCACTTCGTGGGTTGAAGTGGCTAAAAAGCCCAAAAAACCAAGGGGCACCGATAAGCAGATCGCCGCGATGGCATCACCTTCCGGTACTCCGAAAGAAAGGCGGAAAAACAAGAAATTATTGCGTGCCCCAACATCTGCGGCCGTAACAGTTACGGTGTCAGACAGCTCCACTGTCACTTATGCCAAAGTAATGGAGGAGGCAAAGGCCAAAATACACTTGGCAGATTTTGGCATCGAAACAGTCCGCCAGAAGCGGGCAGTAACCGGAGGACTCCTGCTGGAAATTAAGGGTCCGGATTGCGGCGCGAAGGCGGACAAGCTGGCGGCCAAAATGCGTGAGGTTCTCTCAGACCTAAACGTGCGGATCAATCGGCCAGTTAAAACTAGCGATGTTCGACTGAGGGACCTCGACGACGCTGTCAGCACTTTGGAGGTTGCGGCGGCTATGGCTGAGGCAGGAGATTGCTCGGTGGATGATATAAAAGTCGGGGAAATCCGCCGAAATCCCACTAGCATGGGGACATGCTGGGTGCGGTGCCCAGTTACGGCAGTCCGCAAGATTACGGCTGTTGGGCGAGTGCGCGTGGGTTGGGGGTCTGCTCGAGTAGAATTACTGGAGCCCAGGCCCATGCACTGTTTTCGGTGCCTAGAAAGGGGGCACGTTGCCAGCAGGTGCTCCAGTGAAACAAACAGAGGCGCACGTTGTTATGCTTGCGGAGAGCAAGGACATAGGGCGAAACAGTGTACTGCGTCGGCACTAAAATGTCCCCTCTGTTCCGATCTTGGGCATTCTGCTGGCCACAGATTAGGGAAGAAGTGTATGCCTCCTCCCAAAAAAAAGGGAAGGAAGAATGGTGAGATCTCTGCACCCACCAGCAAGGCGGCCACAACGACTTCTGTCGCTGCTCCGAGTACTAGCTCGGCTATGGAGGTGGCCGAGTTAGAAATTCGCACCCCTTAAAGTCCTCCAGGGCAACCTGAACCACTGCCGTAATGCGCAGCATTTGCTCATGCAAACCATTGCGGAGTGGCGGGTTGCCCTTGCAGTAATAGCAGAGCCCTATGCCGTCCCCGACCATCCTCGCTGGTTCGGTGACGAATCGGGCTCCGTCGCCATCTACTGGAGTGGTGGAGAGGGTGCCCCACCCTGCGCTCTATTGGGAAGAGGGCAGGGCTTTGTTGCAGTGCAATGGGGCCACTTGGCCATAGTGGGCTGCTATGTCTCTCCTAATAGGTCCCTTGCCGACTACGAGGCGTACCTAGACGAGGTGGCGAATTGTATTCGCGAATGTCAACCTCGTCCGTTGATCGCTCTGGGAGATTTTAATGCCCACACAAGGGCTTGGGGCAACTCTAGAGACGATCCCAAGGGAGAGACAGTGATGATATGGGCGGCTGGACTGGACCTCCGATTGATGAATCAGGGGTCCGTAAGCACATGTGTACGGTGGCAGGGGGAGTCCATCGTGGATCTTACGTGGGCAACTCCTCCTGCAATGCAAATGCTGTCGGGCTGGCGAGTGGCGGAGGAGGTGGTCACTTTGTCTGACCACCGCCACATCGTATTCAATGTCGCACTTCGACAGCCCGACAGTAATCCCAGTCGCCGAGATAGCAGCCCACCGCGACGTTGGTGTTTCAAGCGGCTCGATCAAGATAAGCTCGAAGCCGCCGCCATCGTCGCGTCCTGGCCAGAAAACGCCGAAGAGGTCCAGTCCGATCCTGAAGGGGAAGCGAACTGGTTTCGGGGTACGATGGCGCAAATTTGCGACCTGTCGATGCCCAGAATCAGTCACCCTAAGCGCAAAGCAGCGTACTGGTGGTCAGCAGAAATCGCACGGCTCCGTGCAATCTGCTTACGGTGTCGGCGCCAGTACACTAGAGCCCGCAGGAGAAGACGGCGAGCTCCGCCTGAAGAGATAGCCAGACTCTACGGGGCATACCGAGCGGCTACAAAGGCGTTGCAAATCGCCATCACCAACGCCAGGTCTCGGTCCTGGAAAGTGCTTCTGGAGGGACTCAACAAAGATCCCTGGGGGCGCCCATACAGGATGGTGCTGGGTAAGCTCCGGCCCTGGTCGCCCCCTCTGACGGAGATTCTCGACCCGGATCTTCTGGAAAGGGTAATCAGCACGCTCTTTCCAGAGGACCGGTCAAGTCCCGAAGGTCACCTGCCGTCTTCATGGGAGTGGCAAGAGGAGATGGGGGTGACCGTTGAGGAGCTGGACCGAGCCATTAGCCGCCTAAAAGTCCGGAACACAGCACCGGGTCCCGACGGAATCCCGGGCCGGGCCCTAGTGCTGAGTCTGGCTGCTCTGGGGAACAGGCTCAGGCAACTGTTTACCAGCTGTCTGCGGTGTGCCAAATTCCCCACAGCCTGGAAAGAGGCAAGGCTGGTTCTCTTGAAGAAGGACGGCAGGGCTGCAGATTCTCCGTCTGCGTACCGACCCATATGCCTGCTGGACGAGATTGGCAAATTGTTCGAGAGGATAGTTGCCACTCGGCTCAGCGGGCATCTGTCGCGCGTCGGTCCCGATTTGGCTGACAGCCAGTTTGGATTCCGACGGGAGCGTTCCACTGTAGATGCGATTATGCGCGTCCGCTCCCTGTCGGAACAAACAGTATCACGGGGTGGCGTGGCGTTGGCGATAAGTCTTGATATCGTCAACGCCTTTAACTCTCTACCCTGGGACGCAATCAGGAGGGCACTGGCACATCATCAAGTGCCCCCCTACCTGCATGGTATTATTGGGGACTACTTGCGCGACAGGTACATTGTGTACATGGCGAAAGATGGTAGAAAGATTCGGAGGGAGATCAGACGTGGGGTTCCACAGGGCTCGGTGCTGGGACCACTACTGTGGAACCTCGCGTACGATGCGGTTCTGCGAGTCGACCTTCCCGCTGGCGTAAATATCGTGTGCTATGCCGACGACACCTTGGTGATCGCCAGCGGGATAACTTTCGAGAGGACCAAGGAGCTCGCCGAACTTGGGGTGGAAGTCGTCGTCGCCAAAATCCACGAGTTGGGTCTAGAAATAGCGCCTCACAAGACCGAGGCCCTATGGTTCCATAAATTACCACGGGGCAGGGAACCACCCAACTCGTGCGTCCGCGTGGGTGGGTCCGAAGTCAGAGTGGGGAGGTACATGAAGTACCTAGGCCTCCACCTTGACAGTCGCTGGGGCTTCGAAGAACATTTCGAGCGCCTAGTCCCCCGGATCGAAAGGGTGGCGGGTGCTATGCATAGACTGCTGCCCAATCTAGGGGGACCGACGGAGGAAGTACGTCGCCTCTATGCAGGAGTTATACGGTCCGTAGCTCTGTATGGAGCGCCTGTATGGGCAAAAAGGCTGGCCATCCGACGCTGTAGAACTAAAATTTACAGTGTCCAGCGGAGGATGGCCATACGGATCGTACAAGGATACCGCACCATATCCTTTGAGGCGGCGACAATCCTGGCTCGCTTTCCACCACTAGATATACTGGCGGAGATGGACGCGAGGGTGTACGACCGAATCCGTGCCCTCCGCCAGAGCGGTGGTAGCGAGCCAGAAGAGGCGCTCGAATCAGTTAAACGGCAGGAACGACAAAACGCCCTAGCGACATGGCGTACTCGACTCGAGGAGCGCTATGAATACAAACGCGTCATTGGAGCAATCCTGCAGGTCTTCGATGCCTGGATGCAGCGACGAGTAGGAAGACTCACCTACAGACTTACACAGATAATTACCGGGCATGGGTGCTTCGGTGATTATCTATGTAAGATCGGACGCGAGGCGACGGCGAACTGCTTCCACTGTGGTGGACAGGACCAGGACTCCGCTTCTCATACGCTCGCAGTATGCCCAGCGTGGGAACGGGAGCGGACAATCCTGGTGAACCGCATTGGACGGGACCTCTCCCTGCCAGCAGTCGTGTCGGCGATGCTGAGCGGGGATTCGGCGTGGAGGGCCGTAGCCACCTTCTGTGAATCTGTTATGACTCAGAAGGAGGCTTCTGAGCGGGATCGGGAGAGGGCGGATCCCGCACGGAGACGACGTCGCCAAGGCGTTCGTCACGGCCCTCCTATTGAAAACGGTGTTCCCCTACCAGAAACGGGGCCTCCGGGGTTGCAGACGCTCGGGGCGGGGGCCTCGAGCGTCTAGCTATGTAACCCCTGAGGAGGACGATGACTCGGAAGTGGTCTCGAGACATCGTGATAGCACTGCGAGGGTGCTGGGGGCAGCAATTACTGTCCCCGGGACGTGCTATAGGTGTAGCAAAGCGACGGAGGGGCCCCGGTTGCGTTCCGAAAGGAGATCCCGGGACCCCTCTTATACGCTGATGGTGACCACCGTGGGGTTTTAGCCGGTATGAGTCCGGCATAACCTTTTCGTTGCCCCCGTAGCGGAAGGTATCCATGAGGATTTCCCCACGTAAAAAAAAAAAAATAAGTTTACCCCGTTGTATTTCTCTTCCAAAGTGTGGAGGATTTTTACCACTTATTCCCATATTTGCAGGATTATCAGCTTTGGGATCATTAGCCGGTGGAGCAGCGGGTATAGCAAAAGCTGTTAATGATTCACAAGCAGCACAAAAGAGTCTTCAGGAATCTCAAAGACACAACAGAATGATGGAAGCCGTTGTTCTAGGAAAAGGATTATATATTAAACCTCATAAACAAGGAGCAGGTTTATATCTTAACCCCTCAAAAAACTAATTAAACGGCTACCCAGATGGGCGCTCACTAATCTCGACATATTAGAACATGCAAGTGACATTCCATAATTTCGCGGCGTTTTCATGAGAAATAAATTACCTTTGAAACCGAGAAAGATAGAATGTGGAATACTGAATTTGGATAGCTGCAGAAATCCTGGAACGCATTGGGTAGCCTTTGTAAAGCACAATAAATACGTAGAATATTATGATAGTCTTGGTAATTTAAAGCCCCCGTTAGAATTAGTTAAATATATGCATAACTTACCTATTAACTATAATTATGCGCGACATCAAGCGTTTGGTGCTACAAACTGTGGACATCTTTGTCCAAAATTTTTAAGGAATTACTGGAAAAATCATTTATATAGTGTATGAAATAAATAAACGTATCAGTATAAAAATGCCTTTCACTGTGTCTATAACTGGGACAGGAGCCTCTTTATCAACGAACTATTCACCGACAATAGAACTACGAGGAGACTACGAATGTGGCCTTTTGTATTTTTCAACTTTCAATTCCATTCCCAATATAGGTGAAAGAAACAATAAATTTTATTATGGTGAAAAAGAAATGATCGAAATTCCTGAAGGGTCTTACGAGCTTCAAGATATATGATTATCTAAAAAATAATATTAAGAACGCTGTACTAAAACTAACTTGTAACAATAATACATTGAAAACAAATACTTTATGTTCTGAAGATGTGCACTTTAATAGAAGCGAATCACTGGGTAAAATTTTAGGCTTTGGTATGAAAACAATAAAAGCAAATTTAGTACTGAATCAAAGTATCCTGTCAGTATTCTGTCGACAACCATCGTGCGGATTGAATGCGATGTAGTAAGTGGTTCATTTATCAAAGGGAAAGCAAGCCATATAATTTTTGAATTTGCACCTAATGTACCACCTGGTTATCAAATAATTGAAATACCCAGAAACTTGATTTATTTTCCTTTTAACCAAAGTTCCATAAGTGCTATCAATATAAAGTTATTGAAGGCTGAGAATAAAGAGATAAATTTACAAGGTGAAGAAGTACAACTGTATTTACATTTCCGAAAAAAAATATGATAAATTTCAATAAAAGCCCGTCAACTTCGTGTATCCAAGCCAGTTCTAAAAGAACATCTCATAAAGACACACCTCTTCAGCTAAAAAAGAAGCTTACCAAGTCTAACAAAGAATTTCTTAAGCTAGTTGGCTTGATAAAATAAATATTTTAAACGTATCTCAACAAACATTATACGATAACAGCATTGAAAGTTTTGAGTATCATTCATACAAACCATATGTAACTAGTTTTAACAAGAATGACGAAATACGTATTCCTATTAATCAACAAGACCTGTACGTACTACCTTCACTCAGTAGTTTATATATCGAGGAAAAGGTGAACGTTTATAACAGCACCACAAAAGAAAAGGTATCAAACGTACATTTTGTCGATAATCCCGTGCTATTTCTTTTTCAAGACATACGATATGAACTTAATGGAGTAGAAATAGATAAAATTTAGAATGCTTTACTACTACAATAAAATCTTATCTATCCTTAAATGGAAATGAATTCAAATGTGCTTGAGTTTGGGGCTGGTCTACTGGCGGTACAAGCAATACTAGTGGTGGAGCGTTTTCCTCGTCTATACCATTGAACAAGATATTAGGATTTGCAGAAGATTATGAAAAAATTATAATTAATTGTAAACATGAGTTAGTATTATTACGAAGCAATACAAATCTTAATGCGATCAAGTTAAATACAGGTGAAGTTGTAGAAGATATTATAATAAATAAAATAGTTTGGCGAGTTCCACACATCAAAGTATCAGATTGTGAAAGAATCAGCCTATTAAAACTTTTAGAGAAAGTTAGAGCTACTCCATTGGCATTCCGTTCCTGGGACTTATCAATATCAATTGCTACCCAATACACGTAAACACACTTGGTCTATAAAAACTTCATCGCAAATAGAGAAACCACGATTTGTGGTCATCGGCTTGCAAACCAACCGCATACATAACGCGAAATTATCAATGGCAGAGTTTGATCATTGTCACGTACGAGATGTAAGTCTTTTTAAATTCATCATTTTATCCTTATGAGGGGCTGAATGTCAGTTTTTCAGAAGATAAGTTTACTTTATTATACGATCAGTATGCGAGATTTCAATAGTCGTATCATGGACGCCGGTCAGAGCCGTTGATGGGTTTAAAGGAGTTCAGAGACTTGGCTCCATTATTTGTAATTGATTGTTCAAGATAACACGAAACTTTAAAAGGTTCGATCGATGTGAGAGTTGAAATCGAAACAGACCAAGAAATACCAGATCAGACAACCGCTTATTGCTTGATATTAAACGACTGTATATTCGAATACAAACCATTGAGTAAGATCGTTAAGAAAATATCATGAATAGCAATACAATAATCGTCGATCTTCAAGGCTTCAAAAATAGCAAAAATAAATTTATTGTAAAGGAGTTTGCTGTAGCCACTCTAGAGTACACCAATATATTCCTAATTAAACCTCCTTACCCATTCACTTCACTATCTCCTGAAGAGAAAAAACAAATTGTCTGGATTGAAAAGCACAGAGGGTATCGATGGAGTGAGGGCTTTGTTGATTATAGAGAGTTTTACAGAATTATAAATAAATAAAAAGATAAAAAGTTTTTTTAAAAGGATGTGAAAAAATTAAATAGGTGCAAGATATTTGTGGTGAAAATAATACTATCATAGATATAAGTTGCTTAGGAGCTCTCAATTTAAATACTCTTTGTGAACTTTATTGTAAATATACTTTACTGTATAACTGTTTTACTCATAAGAAAATATGTGCGTTAAAAATGTTTTATGTATTAAGAAATGGTGTTTTGTAAACAAAATGATTGTTTGATTTCTAATAAGATATATGTAAATAAACACTTCATCTTTTAATTTAAACTACTTTTGTGTTCGAGAAGAAGAAAAAGAAATAGTTTCAGACCGTTAACAATTAGTACTTATTATTAAAGTAACTGTTTTTTTTGTACCACCTTGCATTTTTAACGATGAAATAGATTAGCCTTCATATTTTGTTGTTATATTATTGAGCCATTTGTATTTCAGATTACGAATGAAATGGTATTAGAAATGGAGCAAAGATAAAAAAAGCGGATCGAGAATTAGACTAAAATTTAGACCTCTAATGGAGAGAATTGGGGCATTCAGCAGCATGTATCTCGAGCGAAGCGAGAGCAAGTGACGCAGAAGCCCCAATTCACACCTGCTACTGATATTCGCAGTTACATATAGTGAAAGTGATAGCTAATCGTAGAAAGTGGTAACTGATATCCGCAGTTACACAAGTGATAAAATCAGCTAGTTTAGTAGATAATAGCTGCTAGTTAGTAGTGCTTAGAAAACCAACTACTGCCAATAGATATTTTGATACTACCGAACAATTTAAAGAAATCTGTTGTAATATATAGTGACCAACCGATAGTGAACAACCGTAGTTGAACAACCGTATTCAACAACCGTGGTCAGTAAACAATAGTTATAAAATTTTGCGACTAATCTATCAGTCGAACCGCTGGCCACTACCATGCTATTTGTATTTATAAATCGTGCATTTTAATTTTGAACCTCAGTCCACAGTTTTCCAGCAGCACCAACAAAGACGGCAGTAGAAGTATCCTCAGGAACTTTTAGGTGTAGGACGTGAGCGACTCGCGGAGTATCTTAGCCAACATTTACTCTGGAGAGTTTCGCCCGTCCGGCACACTTAATTGGTACTGTAGTTCTAACTATATCTCCTATGACCTCTGCTTTTTCATAACGCGCTTTATCTTTACTTCTCCTACCATTCGTGCACTTTATAAATATTGTGTCTCCTGTTTAAATGTTAAATTCCTTCTCGCCTCCTCTTTTTTCTTTAATACTTTGTTTCTTATCAATGGCCTTATTAGTTAAATATTCATATAAATATTGAGTTCGTCGTCTATGTTCTTGTAATAATTTTTGTGTGTAATTTTATAGAATTCAAATTCGTCAAAAGTACTTGAGAAGTCAGTATGACCGGTAGTGTTCGGTTTGAAAGGCGTAAGGCCTGATGTTGAATGTATCGTTTCGTTGTACGACATGATGGCATATGTCATTACAGATGCAGCATCTGTAATTTTTCTTTTATATTTCGCTAAGCGATACATTTCTAATAGGGTGGAGTGAAAACGTTCGACATGAGCCATGGAATTTGGATTGTGAGGAGTGCCTATATGCAAATCTATTTTGTAAAAACTAAGGGTTTCTTTCATTAGTACGTTATTAAATTCGGTTTTTGAATCTGCACTTACTCTATGTGGTACGCCATACATAGAGAAATATTTAATAAGAGCTCTAATTATTTCTGGGGTTGACCTATTGTTTATTTCTATTGCTTGTCCAAGCTAACTAAAGGCATAGATGATTATTAAATAGAATTTTTCCCTCTACGGTGAAAACATCGATAAAGATTTCCTGAAATGGTTTGTTTTGGGTTTGGTTTAACTGAAGTTCAGGTTTTAAAGGTTTACAGTCATATTTCATGCGCTTACACACCTCACAAGAGGTTATGAACGTGGCTACTGTTAGGTCCATATTGTTCCAGAAGTAAGTACATTTTAAGTGTATTATTGTCTCTTTTATACCTCTATGATATGTTTTGCCAATATGATATTTTTTTATTATTTCACGCTGCTCATTCTCATCCTCTACATAGACTACCCTCCGCTCAAAGATCTTAACTGTATCCTTTTTAAATAACTCAATTACAGCCTCTGAAAATTGTTTTCGATATGCGTCGTTCTCGAAGTAAATGAATTGTTTTATTTTAGGTTTGATGTACTCCTTTAGGAATTGTTTTACTAGATCAGGTCTATTTAGGGGAATATGAACTTGGAGTATCTTTTGTTTTTGTCTCGATAAATTTTTAATAACTGTTTCGTCTCTATACCACGTAAAAATAAATATTTGATGAGGCTTAGTATCTATGGCTTCCTCTAGAATTGGAATACCATCGGTATCTATTTCATGTGCTGAGTGTCTTGTAAAGGTGTATGAGTTATCAAATGTTTTGTGTGCTGAAACGGTATTACTTGTCGGTAATGGTATAGAATATGGTGATTTATTGCTCTTAGCGGACGGGATAGATAAGGTTCTCTCCGTATCCGATGACATTTCCATCGGACTTGTGTTCTTATTTTGTAATCTTTGAATTTCTTCGATTAAGCTGTCTATGTGTCTTTGCAGTTGTTCATCCTTATCCACGTTAACCTTCATTGATTTTTGGTCTTCTCCCAGAGCGTTTACCTTAACACGGGATAAGGCGTCGGCAACGAAATTTTGTTTCCCAGTTTTATAAACGATGTCATAATCGAACTCAGCAAGCCGCAACTTCAATCTCGTGAGTTTACTGTTGGGTTCTTTGATAGAATTTAACCACGCCAAAGATCTATGATCCGTAAAAATGGTAAATTATCGGCCATATAGGTAAGGTCTAAATGTTTTTACGGCTCATACTATTGCCAACAGTTCCTTCTCGATAGTACTGTATCTGGTCTCTGCATCATTTAAAGTTCTACCAGCGTAAGCTATTGGTTTGTCGGTTCCGATGGCGCCTTGAGATAATACGGCTCCTAGGGCATAATTTGAGGCATCAGTGGTGAGTACGAATGGTTTCAAAAAATCTGGGAATTGCAGAAGTTCTTTGCATCTCTCGAAAGCGGCTACAAATTGTTCTGTAATTTCAATCCTATTCCTTTTCTTGAGACAATTGGTGAGTGGTTGGGTAACTTTAGCGAAATCTTTAATGAATTTGAGATAATATCCTACAAGACCCAAAAATATTTTGATTTCGGTGGCGGTTCTTGGTATCGAAAAATCTACTACGGCTTGGATTTTGTCATTATTTGGTTTAAGTCAGTCTTTTGTTATTGTATGGCCTAAATAGAGGACTTCTTTTCTAAGAAATTCACATTTATCTAGTGTAACTTCGAGATTTGTTTCCCGTAGTCGATCGAACACCATTTTCAACTTTTCTATGTGCTCCTGTAGACTTGAAGAGTATACAATTATATCGTTGAGATATACTAAACAATGCAACCCTTGCAACCCTCTCAAGACGTTATCCATAGTACGTTGAAATATTGCGGGGGCTGTCTTTAATCCGAACGGGAGGCGGGCAAATTCGTAATGGCCTGACTGGGTTGTAAATGCGGTTTTGTGTCTATCACTTTCCTCAACTTCTATTTGGTGATACCCGCTTGCCAAGTCTAACGTTGTAAAATAAATAGATTTCTCTAATTTATTAAACAGGTCTGAGATATTCGGCAATGGGTACTTATCATATATAGTGACCTTGTTCAAACCCCTGTAATCGACTACCATACGATATTTTCTTTCACCTGAAGCATCGAGTTTCTTGGAAACCAGATGGACAGGTGCGCTCCAAGGCGAGTGAGATTCTTTAATGACGTTATTTTGGAGAAGCTTTTCGACTTGTTTCTGTATTTCATCATTTATTGCAGGTGGATGTCTGTATGGCCTAATGTATATGGGGTCTTTATTTTTAGTACGGGTTTTGTGTTTTACACTGTTGGTGAATGAGAGCGGAATATCGTCGCAATAGAATATGTCCCGATAGTCATAGCACAGTTTTTTGATACATTCATGCTCTTCCTCATTTACATGATCCAGACGTATATTCGACAAGTTTTGTTTTAACAGTTCATCTATGTTGTAATTATCTCTCATGAAGTTCGCTCTGCATTCTTCAGCTATATACTTGATCACTTTTAGGGGCTTAGAGAACGTCATGGTAACCCTATCGTTGGACGAATTTTGTATCACCGTGTATGCAACCGAATTAACGCATTTTACTATAGCGCTTGGCATCCTAACACCTTGACCAAAATCGACATAATCTATTATCGCATTTCCATTTTGCATATCCATTGGCCTTGACTCGCGTTTCCGTTCTTGGTTATAATATAATTTCGTATAGGGGTTATATATAATAGGTATATTTATGTCACGTGTCTGCAATACTTGGTTTTTCATATCTATTGAAGCGTCAAGTTGTTTTAATAGATCCGAACCTATCAAACCGTCGTATCTACTATCGACGTCGTATATATAGAATTTATGTTTTTCTAAACTTTTAAATATTTTAAAGAGCGGGATATATATAGCTGCGTTATGTTGACTACGTGCATGCGTACTTATAACTTCGAAAGTTTTGAAAGTTCGAAAGTACTTATAACTTCGAAAGTTATAATTTGAAAGCGGAGAAATATTGTTCTGACTTAGCCGGACTTATAAAAGATCTCATGCTCCCGGTGTCTATAATCAAACGAACCTGAATTTCCGGTATTTCCATGTGCGGGAGTTTTAAAA